GCTGCTCCAGAATTGTCATCATTGTCTGGGATTATCATTAAAAGTAGATAGAGACAAAGGAGAAAGATTGACAGTAAAGTTTAGTAGGGCTTTTTTTTTTCATTTAGTAACTACTTTGAGAGTCACTTCCTTTCCTTCGTGCAGCATTCGGAATAGTCCTTGATTACCCTTTGTGATTGATTCGTATTTTTTTTCTTCCCTTCTTTTTCCTATGACGATTTGTTGAGTGTATTTGAGCAGTTATCGTTTGTAGATTCAAGCATAACTAATGCCACCTCATTTGATTCCACGGTAAGTTGAATAGCTTTATTACTATATTAATTGAACGACTTATTCTATAAAAAAGGAGAGATGGACATTCAATATGGTAAGTACCAGATTGGGAACATTCGATAATAGTTTATGCAATAAAGCATTTGATTGCAAACATTTGCAACACATTTGTTATAAATGATTTGGAGGTTCGAGACAGCATTAATAAGTTATAAAGTTATGTATTTGTTTAACAACTGCTATACTTAAGATCTGCTTCCCACTGTTATCGTGTCCATCTTTTGATTCAGGTTATATGTTCCGGTTGCTTTTTTAATTCTTTTTTTTTCACCAAGAAATATTTATTTGTTGGATTGGATTTTTTCAAATTTGAATTTCGAGAAAAGTTTCAAGTTCCTAGCAGAATTAGCGCTCCACACTTTATAATGCGTGTTGATGAAAGTAATTAATTTCTTTCACCGCTGAAATAGTATCATCATAATTTCATGTGAAAAATTCGAGTTGTAGGTAACCTAATGCATATACCAGTGTTTCGAGAATATTGCAAATGTGAACTTCATCCCTCGCTAAAATTTAGTTTTCATTCCCCGCTAAATTAATTTAAATTGTGATTTAAATTAAATTGATTTGAATTACTTATTTATGGACACTACTCTTCCATTGATTTTAGTAACTATTCGTTTCTCTAATTGTCATCACTATAATAGCGGTAGCAGAAGTGGTAGTAGTGATTTTCTTTTTTTATGAGAAATACCCAGATAAGCAGCAAAATCCTTGTTCAAGCTGCATTTCGGACTACGAAAGCCTAGTGCAGTCATCGTCCATCACCATTCCAACTGAAAGACATCGTTATGATTTGGGGATTTTATAATTCTTTTCCGAACAGAATTTTTTGAAAGAATAGAAAAATTCCCGAACAAAGATTACTCAATAAAAAATGAGAAATATATTTTTGATTAATTAGCAGCGTTGTTTCCTTTTCATACGTCATTTCAATTGCATAGTTAGCTATCGTCATTCCAAGGAATCGATATATCTTTTTTTTAAGATTTATTTTGAGATGCCATAACGTATGCCATAACGAAAGTGATTTCAAACCTACCCGGATATAAACTAAACTACAGTATTTACATTATAGTTCATAAGTTGGGATTAATTTTGATAGCAAAATTATTTTATCAGAAGGCGCCAGTCTAACGAAAATATCAAAGTAAATATAAACAAGTAGAACAAGTATAATAAAGCAAATTCTTAAATTTTAAAATTGACATCAAAATGAAATAAAATCTTTTTTAACTCCATCTGCCAGCACTTTAGCAAAAGCAGTATAATGCGTTGTGTGAAAAATGAGCAGAGTTATGCGAAATATAATTCTCATATGGTAAACAGTCCATTTGTTCTTTTCATTGTTTTAGTTTCAAATTTAATTTCAAATTCAACAATGTAAGGTATAAGGTTAGCAATTGCCTTCTGAACATGCAACAGCAAAACGGTTCGTTATTTGAGGTAACAGGTCATCTTTGACAGATAGCCCGAATGAACCAAGTCCTTCAAATTTTGCCTTTGTTTCTTTCGCTGGAATCCATTTATTATCTATTTTCTTCCACGTTTTAATGATCCAGTGTTTCTCATCACATTTTTCACCTTTGATCTGAAGAAGATTTCAAATATAATTTCATATTTTATTGTATGAATTCTAACTTTCCAAAAAAAAAAGCTATGAATTTTTGAATTGTATTGATGTGAAACATAAAAGCTAATTAAATATATATATAAAAAGTAATACTGTCTTACACAAATAAATTCATAAGATTAACTGTTTTATCACTTTTATCAATCAAATACGGTTCAATTAAAAACTTTTTCAGCATTGCATGCTATTTCAGTTTATGAAACGTTTCAATTTAACTTATAACCAAATCACTTTTGTTTTGTCGCACTAACTAAATTGACTGTATTCTAAAAAGCTGAAAATTATTTGGAAACAGTTTTTGAGTGCATAGAATTATGATGAAGGAATTAATAATTCTTTAAAAAACCGTGGCTGTGAAAAAATATTGCATCATTGATTTCAAAAGATTAAAAATTATTATAGATGAATTAGACAAAGAAATTAAAAACAAACTAAAGCGGTACGAATTTCATCTCTATTTGTAAATGTTACTCGTTCGGTTTTCATTTTAATTGCCGGCACATAAATTTGAATTTGAAATGGTTTATCCGTTTTCGACTGCATTTTAACCTTAATTTTACATGCTGTTATTGACAGAATGTAATTAGCCAGAGTTATTATGGTTGCCAGTGAGTACCACATCCTGCAATTACTCCTATATTACAAATAATGAGTTCTTTTTTCGGTTCTTTTTAAATTGAATTTGCTAATGAAATGATCATTTATCGTGTGATTTTTCAACAGCACCAGAATTCTGTAACAGATAAATTGAAGCGAACAAGAAACAATTTCTTATTGAGTTTAAACATTTTTGTTAATATCGAGTGTTAAATTATTTTAATATTATAAACATTCAGCTGTTACTAAATCTTTGTATTGCTTATTGAAGAAGAATAGTTAATTAAACTTTACGCATACTTTAGAGTTACCAAAAGGTTCATTTTCTTACTAGCAAAACGAAAAAAATTAATGATAATAGTAATTAGTAATAATAATGATAATAATAGTAATAATAATAATAATAATAATAACAAATAAATAATAATAAATAATTTGAAGTTGAACCAACAATCTTTAAAACAATCATTGCTCATGATATAAACCCACGAAATGACCCTAATTGGAATGATTTCTCTGATTCTAGTATACGTTTAAATGTTCCACAAATAAATTAGGTTACATTCAACAAAAAATTGGCGAAAATTAATTACATACGAATTCAAAAATAACTTTCAATACATTTTGATTATACCAGTTTTGAATGCCTATAAGGTTCTAACAAGCATAGTTGGTAAAATTCTTCATTGGCTTCTTTTATTTAGTTAAATTAGGAACTGTTCAAAACATATCTCAAACAAATATATTCCGAATATTTGTAAAATAATTGCAATAGGAAAATGAAATTGTTGTTTATTCCTGTTCTTCTAAAAGGCTACAACTTTTCGAATTAGAATTTTGTGGATTTAATTAAACAGTTTGGTAAGTGCTTTTTTTTAAGTCATAATGATCTTCGGTATTTTGAAAAAGTTCTTGAATTGAATAAAGTGCAAAGTGTTGGTGCAGAATACATAATATTTGTTAATGTGAATCATTACCACATTTATTTTCATTATTTTTGTGCAATAGAAATATAGAAACTATGACAAAGCTTTTAAAGTTGATTTGAAGTATGTGAAAACATTGCATCGAAATAAGGAAGAAAAAAAGCGATGCAAATTTCCTTCCTAATATCATACTTCCAATAGTTGTTATACAAAATGAAAGTTTTCATTAAGACATATAAAAATATTGGATCACTAATCGTTCATTTTGTTCCGCTTTTTCTGTCATATCTACTCATTGTGATTTACTTTTTTCCACATTGATTTTTACTACAATTCCTACTATACATCTGAAAAAAATTCCGATACAAAAGACAGTACTGAAATCAATCGCAGAAACATTGTGCAAATCCTTTTTCCGATAATTGTTGTCACATATTCTCTATGCCAGCTACTTTTGGTAGTTGACATTCGATGTAAAAGTAAAGTTTTCGTTGAAAAGACATTTGAAATATCTGAAGGAAATGCATTGTTTCAATTGACTGTTATCTTTTCTAACAAATTTATCTCTTCTTTTCTGTCACTGGTGATAACAACTTGCAGCAGATGTTTTCAATGGAATTTGAAGGTGAATTCAACCCTGTTTCACTTGATAAACAGAGACTTTTCTAAAATATCTATTTTAATTACAATGTTTATTTAGTGGTGTATAAAAAACAATCATCAAAAAACAGTGAATTATGTTTACACTAAAGTATCGGAAAGAAAAAAAAATCCAATAACACCAATTTCTTTAGCGTAAATTGAATCGGGTCATTGAAAAAAGGAGGATGGAAAAAAGAAACATCGCGTTTTTTTTTTTTTTTTTTTTTCAAGAAATCAGCAGTTACTGGAAACAAAACTATGCAATAAATAAAGCATACGTAATTGATTTAGGCATTTGGCTGTAAGCTTTATAAAATATTAATGAGTAATTTAGCTATAAGCTATATAAGAAATTTTCAAATATTAACTCAACTTTGCAAAATGAAATTAATTAAATAGTAATTAGAATGATACTCTTAACAATAAAATATGAAAAAAAAATGGAAAAAATAAAGTAATTTTCACAAGAATATGCAAATAATTTTACTCCACTTATCATTCACTTTTTCCTTCAGAATGTTGCAAATGGTTACAAACTGAGAGATCCCCATAATTTCATTCAGGGCTCCTTTGATTCCTGCTGCTTTGGTGGCGAGTACCGGTGGATGATGATAGGTGCATGGGAGCGGAGGGCGAGGGAGAGATGGTTGCTGTTTTAAGTTGTTGTTGTGTTTCTCTGAAGGTTTAGGGGAATTTAGATGGTCCTTCAGTATTTGGGGTAAAGTTGCTTAGTAGGATGAAGTATTGCTGTGAGTACTGCTATCAAAGAGCAACCATTTATTCCATTCATCATCACTGTTTAGGCATCATTGATTCAAACACATGCTTTTCCTAAAAAAGTTTTTTAGAAAAAAGAAGATTTTTCAACAATGCTGTGGAAACGGTTTGTCTATCCACGATCAGTCATTGTTTTTCGACGAAGTTGTTCGTTGGTATCAGTACCCACAGTACTATTGTCATGTTTTTGTCGGGTAATATATTAGAGCAAATAAATTTCGAAAAAAGGAGTTTTCGTTTACTAAGAAAGTTTCTTTCTAAACTTCTAATTTTAATCTGCTAGAATAGCATCTCTTTATTATTATTCTAACTGATCGACTTTGATTTCATATTCGCAACTTCCTAGTATTTCTAGTATATTAATATTTTTCAATTTTAATGGTGAAAGAAGTATTTTGTACTGCACAAAAAGTCTTCCTGATAACACATTGTTGCAGGAATCTTCTTGCTACCGGCCATGTCGAAGATCAACATCATCTTTTTTGGACTCAGTCCGATATGCGCACGACACTTTTAGTAAAAATCCTTCAACTTCAGCAGGTGTCAGGATTACTAACGAAGAGTTGCCGACCAAAGAGCAATTATTTTATGTGGATTTCCTTACCGATACGTTGGTGCGTTCATCTTAAAATGTTAATTTCAGTTATTAGTTCCTTGTCATTTTTAGTTTCACGAATTTCAAATTTGATTTTGATTGCATCTTTTCTGCGTCTTTTCTTTTGGTTAATGTTATCTTCACGTTCATCTTCCATATGGTCACTTTGAAAATTCACTGGAATTTGAACAAAGTAAAAATAAATTCGAAACTTCTCTGTTTGTACATTATGATAGGTGAACAAATCTTAATATTATTCGTTAACATGTTTGAGTTGCATTTCGTAGAAACATGGATTGAAGTAGTGCAAGCTGAATATGCTTTAGGTGCCGGGATTTTTGAGCAATCGAAAGCAGTTTTTAAAATTTATGAAATTGTGTACCAAAGATGTTGTTTACAGCGATTCAATTTTTAATCAACACACCACGTATCTTTTGTTTTTGTTTTTTTTTTTTTTTTTTTTTTTTTCATAGTTTAAATTTTATTTAGAGGTTTCAACATTTCATGCCGAAATTTGCTATCGTTTTATGCTGTCGGACTCTGTTTTGTAACACTATCAAGATCCTTAAATGTTCTTAAAACATAATTTCTTGGCCAATCCTTTTATTCATTCTTTTAAGGCATGGTCTCTCTTTTAAGCCAACTTTGGGAAGCAACTTCAAATATATATAAAAGTGTGATTATTCTGCCGAATTTTTATTGAGGTGATATGAACCTTCAATTAATTTCTGTATTTACAGAGGCATAGATAAATTTATAAGACGTATTTCACTCTCCAAATTATACTTCAGTTTGATGCAATCGAGCAGTAAGTTTGAGGTATAGTTTACTTTTCTGAAATTCGAAATTCCTTTTGCGAGCACATGATTTGCACTATGTTTGTAATTATAAAGCATTTTTTATCAAGGATTTTTTGTTTCTGTTAAGAGTAGTTGTTTTTTAGAAATTGGGGTCATGCATCTACGAAAACAGTGATGTCATTGTAGTTCTTTGGCGGATTATGACCATTAAATTATATCATCAGGTATGAACTTGGTGATCATACCTATCCATTAATTTATTCTTGCTAATGAATGTTATTTCCAGATCTTTATGTTTGTTGTATTGATTCTTATTAATTTATTATGATTTAGTGAAACTTTTTTTATAGCAAACAGATATCGTTGAAGGAGCGCTAGATATTCACCTTGATAAAGATGGACGTATTTACAAGATTAAAAATCGACCGGTAAGTTGGTTGTAAAGTTTAATAGTTTCTTGAACTCTGAGAACTCGTTTTTTTGGAACTTATACATAATTTTGAAATTTTACCGCTAGGCAAACATTTTCTGATATCTCTTTTCTATTATTTCAATATTTGTTTTCTTGAGTGTTACCGAGATGGCTTTTAGAAATGATTTATAATTTAATTCAATTTTTTAAAGGTAACTCGAGATGATCAGAACGATGCATCTGCCCTGTCAAAATTAAAAGAAGCTTCGAAAACTGAAAACGGCGAAGGTCAGCAATGAACTCTCCCTGCATGGGATGTTGATTTCTGCCATACAGCCTTTTTTTTTTTGAAATTCCCTTTCATTTTTTTGCTATCAGGTTCCTGAAGAGAAACATCAGTTCTTTCCTCTATGGAAAAAATAATTTTGTGCATGTTGCTTAATTTTCATTCTGTCATGACTTCTCAATTATCATTACTTTTTTTTTATTTATTATTGGTAACTACTACTGATTTTTGTGCTTTGCTCAATTTTTCTAACTTCTACTATTCGCTGTTCTACTAAAGGTCTCATTTCTCCGATCGATCGGTTGATCCTTTTTGATCATCTTAAGTTTTGATTCCATATATAAATCACTGAATTGAAAGTATTTGCAAAAAACACTGCTATTTCCGAGATGTCAGGGATAAAGGTGCTGCATTATGGAGTACTGACTTTCTGGATCGCGTACTTATTCCTACTTATTCTTTTTTTCGATTACACTTTTTTAATTTAGAGCATGTAAATTTTCACATATGGTTAATACCATGCGCGTTCTTATGAATTTATATCTTATCTTTGCAGCTTTAGCAACAACAGTGCAAATGCGAACGACACTACGATGTTTGCTCCCTCTTGCTGCTCCCTCTACTGCCTATTTTTTATTTTCACGTGCGTATAGTAATGGAAGAGGTAACAGAGGACCAGAAATGTTTCAGTTGGAACATGTACGAAAAAGGCTAGAAATGACGGTAACAACTTTCCTTAATTTTGTTTCGTGTGAACCGGATTTCGGACCGGAGTTTTCACTGTTACGTAAGACGACAGTGAATAACATTTATGAAGCAACTTAGAATTTATGTTCTTTGCTTACTTTTTAGTTTCACATGTATATAGTAGTGGAAGAGATGCGGAAGAGCTTTTGCGCAGTTTGAAAGCTTGGACATCTTGGATTATGAAGTGTAGTAAATCGCCGTTATTCTCATCAACAAATGATTCTAACATGGTCTGAATTTACTGTTTGGAGCTTTGAGCACTTCTCAGCTCCATCATCTTTTTTGAGGCAGATAGTATTGTTGTATCACTTATGTTCGGCTGCGAAGACATAACACATAATTACATAAAAAATATTAGATGTTGCATTTCAGGCTCCACATTTCTTTCGGGAGCGGCCAGATTATACATTTTACAGGCCGGATGTGTTGTATAAAGACGAGATTTTTCAGATTACTATTACGTGAGTTATTTTATTGTGATAAAATCTTGTTATTTTTCGTAGAGATGATGCAGTACCAATGATTAGTGGGGAATTTTGGCGTGATTTTGAAAGTTTCTAAGCCAGAATGATGTTTGTAGTTTGTAGTGGTCATTTTTACATATTATTTCTTGTTGAGTTGATATTTGAAATTTTCAGTTTCATTTCTTGAGCTTTTTTCCTTGTTCATGAATGCCTTTGAATTAATCTAATCCACTAGATGTTAGCAGAGGATTAAACTGATAACTGGCATTTTGAGTTTAGTTCACCACCAGTTGTGTTCGCTGTCCAATTATTCCAGTAACAGGACCAGCCAATTGCATTTATTGCAGTGTGTGATTTTTTAGGGGTCGAGACAAACTCATGATTTATTTCGGCTCGATTAGTGTAATATGTCTATTTTGCTTTCCTCACATAGAAATGGAAGTAAGCCTATTTTTCTGGTTGTTTTGTTTGTATTTTTAAGGCTGCTCTTTGTGACTAGTTAATGGAATGAAAACTTCTTTTTCTCTATGATGTTTTAGGTTTTGAATATATTACCGATCTCAGAAGATGGAACAGTACGATTAAGGTGGCGTATAAAGCATATCTCATTGATACGATCGCTGTTGAATCCTATGTTGTTCAGATATGATTATCGTATCAAGAGGGTATTCCCTTGATTTTATGATTATTTTCGTAGTTTGTTTTGCAGTATTTTTGTGCAGTAGTGAAATTGTGAAATTTCTCCAAGAATTCAAACTGCATGTTTAAGTTGAAATGGTACGATGGTCTTACAATATTTTACGTTGGTGAAGATGGACTTGTATATCGAGCGGTTACACGCAGAGTATGTTCTCGAGCATTACAAGATTACTCATTTGGAATAATTTTTTTGACCATTTTCAAATACGCCTATGTTAATATGGGCTGACTTGTTTTGCTGATTAGAGGATTAGCATTATCTAACATAATTTTTTTTGTGAAACTTGCTTTCTTCCATAGGTTGTTTTTAACATGACCAACCATTTTGCAGACGATTGATGATGAACAGAAAACTCCGCAAGTAAATCGACTTGCTGATTTAGCACAAAAAGTTGGCGTACTACCGAAAGGTTCCGCTACATTTGTAACCAACAAATGGAATAATACGCTACTACTTTCTAAATGAAAATTGCTAGATTTATAGAAAATTTTGCACTCCTTTTTTTGTAGTTAGTAAATAAAAGTGGGAAAACTCACCTGTTAATGCTTTACTAGCCACCAAACAAATTATAATAAGTCAAGAAAAAACGTTGGGACTTTATTTTGCTCAGACACTGCCTTGGATAGATCATATAATCTCCTTACTCGTCACTTTTCCATAATCGTTTTAGTGGTAGCTCCAATGCAAGACATGATAACACTTCCAATTTTGAACAACGATTTGATGAAGTGCCATGCATCAAAAGTTCCAATTTGAAATTTCAAGAAATCACTTGGGCATATCATCTTACACTGGCTGATCTAATAGATTTGCTCAGAATTTCATAGGAATAATTGGATTTTCAAAAATATTGCATGCCATCTATTTCTCTCTTTCACAGTAATCTTACTCTCTGTACTCTGTTTTGCTATTCATGAATATTTTCTTTTATCATCGCATAGTGATAGTAGACAACGCTTTGTCCATCCACAGTCTTCATTGATGTCACAAACATTTTTTACCAATTTTCAAACTGAGCAACCAAGTTGAACTAAATATAAAAAATAACGATGTAATAAATTTATACATCATAATTCATGATTAGGTTAAATAATATCCCTACTATTTTTGTCGCTCAAAATGATTGGAAACGTTAACCGAATGATTCCAGTCACTTTCGTATAAGCCACATGCAAACCACGTACAAACTTCTTACAAATCCTCTACAAACTTGTTTCATTCCATGTAATAAAAAAGGGTGAAGTTTTCTGTGTAGTTGATAAAAAGTAAAATGAGCTTTTTGTGCTAATAATATTTCATCTAGAAAACAATTCTTATAAATAAAGCAGTGAATTTAAAAAAAATATGATTTCGGGATTTTAATGAAGCTGTATAGCAATGAAATGCTGGGTTAGGAGTTGCCGATCTATAGCGATGTTGCTTGATCTGCGCTAAAAATCTCGATAATTCAAAGGATTAAAAGCAATAAACAGCGAAGAAATGACAGATCTTTTCTTAGCTTGCCTTTAATCGTAAACTAAAACTATGCGTGTGAGTACCGCTTATTTAACGCATCATTTTAGCAAATTTAAATTGTTATTTAATTCTGTTCTAATCGACTTTTTTTCTATCATACATACAGTAAATGATCTATCCATTAATTTGTTTACAGTGAGTTTATCCCTTACAAAAGGAAGCAATAATTGCTGAGTTATTCTCAGTGCAGTGCAAATATTTTCCACAAATGTTTAGTCAAAAATTAATTCAAAAAATGAAAATTGCTTTGTGTGCTGCACAGCTTTTTTTTTCTTTTTTCCACGGATTTCTCCACCTTGGATTGTGAACAGTTTACCAATACCCTAAAACGTTATTAGCACAGAAAACTTTTTTTTTTCTATACATGAAATGAAGCACTTTTGCAAACCGTTTGTAATTTATTTGTATGTGGTTTGCAGTTATTTTTTAATTTGCAATAAATGGTCTGTAGTTGGGTTTTTTTTTTGATTCCGTTACTAATCTGGAGTTTTCGATGCTGATTAATGCTGGTAAAATGATGAAATGGTCAGAAAGTGAAATGATATCGGAAAATGAAATATTAATTTTTTTTAGAACAAATCTGGGTTCTTGTTATTAATTTGTATAGCAAAATTTTTTCAATTCATCTAAGAAATAACTGTTATGAATAAAGCAGTGAATTTTATAAAAATATGATTGGCATATCAACAGCAATTATGAATTTGTGCAGTAAAGAAAACAATATTACTTTGAAATGCTGAGTCAGAAGTTATCGATCTATGGCTAAAAACTAAAAAAAATTTAAATCATAATTTAAGCTAATTTAGCGAGGAGTGTTCATGTACATGCAATTATCATGCCACACAAAAATAACACACACGAAGCATTTTCAAATTAAACCAAGGAGTGCTCATTTCACCTTTAAAACATATTAAAAATGCATAAATCATGTCACTTCTTTAACAACTTATAGCTTTTATCTGCATCACTTGATTATCGAAACAGAAGAACTATGATTACAATCAATGAAATTGTTATAAAAAATTGTAATTGTTTAATTATAAAAAAAACATAAAAGTTATTATTATAAAATTTTATCACTTTAATTATTATTAATTATAAAAAAACTAATTTTTCAGCTTTATAAATATTGCAAAATAAACGTACCCAAGCCTTGCATTTTGAAGAGAATAGAAAGAACATTCTTTTTCTCTATTCTTTCTAGACTTATTTTTCGAAAATTCTGATGGTACTGTTCTTTTTATTTGGTAATAAAGTGTTTGATTTCGCAAATGAATTTACTGTTTTTTCTTTTTAGTAAATTTAGTTCAACATGTTGGGTTACTTAATTTATCAATGACAAAATTGGTTATGCTGTAGTTAAGAAAAATTTCTCTAAATATTTTTTCTTTTTACATAACTGCTGTTGATATGCCAACACTTTTTTTTTTTATCTTATCATGGAAACTGAGCAATAAAAGACGAACTCATGATATTTGTCAAAAAAAATTGTGGGAAAGGAGTTAGATGAAGGGTTTTTGATTTTTGACGAATTAATACAGATGATGAGTTTTTTATCTACGAAAGTACTTTGTTTTTATAATGGTTTTATCTTCTCATTTCATATTTTCTTTACTACTTTAATCTCCTAAGATATCATTGTTCTCGTAGTTTCAATATTCATACTTTGTATGTGAATGACTATTGATCAATTTTAACCCAACTCTTTCGACAGATTTTGATTTGCAAGCACTGCCTGTGCTTCTCTTCGTTCTTCCCGACTATATGCATGAAAGAATTTTCGTCCTCGTTTCCCTCTTCGCTCAGCATTGGACAGCCACTGTTCTATAACCTAAAAGTAGTAAGTTAATAAACCGTAAATAAAAGTATTGAAAATGTATTCAATATCATTAGATTCTGATCGGCAGCTATTTAATCAAACGCTTAAGAAGAGAAAAAATGGATATGTTATTATTTACTTGTTAACATAAACCACTGTGTCTCATAACTTAATATCTGAGTTGAAGTTTGGCTCCAAGAACTTCATCCTGGTGAAATATGCTGAAATATAAATAAAGGAGGTACTTGGAGGGTATCTTTGTCATTGCCGTGGTTTCGATACATATCACTGGCCAAAATATTGAAGTAAGGTATATGCTTCTCGAATGCTACCCTCCAGTCGCAGTCATTTGCGTAAACGTCCCGAATTATGTTTGCTGTAATCCGTAAAGGCATCGTAACCGCTGTTTGCCCCAGACTGTAAATATTTCCATTTCTGAATTTGTTGGAAAAGATTCATAACTGCCACTCTGACATCAGAAGAGTGTCGCCAAGTGGTACTACGCTACTGTAAGTGAGTCCTGTTTACTTTAAAAATTTAGTCGTAGGCAGTTTATAAGAATTCAACTGCTCAATCCTGGCCGCCTGAAACGCAGAATTCAATAATCTATTGTCGGGAGTGGTGCACAATACGAATGCTTTATATTTCGAAAGTGGAAGTGGTAAATATTCTGTAGCTCGCGGGTTAACGTAAGCAATTTCCTCTGAAAATAAATGTCTTGGTATAGGTATTAGATAGCTAATAATGGTCAGTAGGATTTGAACTGGACCCAAAACTAAAGCAACATTTTGAAAAAATATTAGTTTTGGTTTTCATGAAAAATAATTTCCTAAAGATCCTTTAAAAAGTGCAAACAAAAGTAGCAGTCCATTTAGAGGCTATGCTCATGGAAAGAGACGAGAGACTAACATATATAAAATTCGCTATAATTCAAATCCACAGAAAAGATAAAAATACGAGACGTTAAACGCTAAATCAAACCAGGATTGGTGCAGCCAAGACATTCACGAACTGTGGCTGATGTAACAACAGGCACAAATGGGGCAGAAATACTATCTTGCGTCCTTTCGTTACTTTTCTGGTCGGAAAGTATTTCGGCCCTTCCTTCACTTCCATTAGCAGTGGATGGGCGATATTTTGACAAGCAACGCTTCCGAAGCCATGAACTTAACATCAACACAATTTGGTTAAATTCATTAAAGAATTTTTCCTTCGGTTATTTACGGTTGAGAATTTTTTTTGTTTGCTGAGTCCATTTTCGTTGGAATTATTAAATAATTATTTAAATTTATATCCTATTATGAGTACTATCGACTACATTATTTATACAAGTTACAAAGAAAAAAAAGACAACATTTGAAACTTACTTCACAATCTCTTCAGCGATGTTGATTGTAGTATGATAATTTACAAAAATGATTGGAAACGGATTTCGCTGCAAGCTGTTGTCAAGTACCAGATCTTTCATCTGCCTTAAATCGGTTACATAGAGTGTAGTTTGAAAATCTACGTTTTATCATCACAAACCATCATTTAATGAACAATTTTCGTTAATTCAACAAAATGTCACATCTTTCTTGTGATTGACTTACTGGGTACTTTTATAATGATGACATTGGAAAATTATCAAAGTAGTTATCAAGAGTAAAATTAAGGAAGAAAGTTTTTACTGCTTATATTATTTTTACTGCTACTTATCTTATAAGAGAAAAATTCTAAAATTAACAGAGTATTCTTCAGTAGGAGAAAGTTATCAAGCAGACAAACTTTTGATATAGTATTTGGAGAAGTTATCTAAGCTCAATTATTTTAAATTTCATATAAAACGTAATGAATACTTTACTAAAATTCTTTGTATCGAATGATTCAAATCGGCTAGATAACGGCAATCAACTAGCAATGGCGGGAATGAATCTCTACAGCGCCACGCAGCTAATAATCGACAACCGAATACTTGGTAAGCAAACCCTTCAAAATACATTAGCTTTGAAGATTTAGCATAATAACAGCTTTTTTTGGCAACTGTTGTATAGAAACCCCACTTATACTCCAATAAAAATAGATCCATTTTTGATATTTCCTTACCCACACAAATTTTCGGAATAAATTTATGTCTACATTCAAGTGTCAGTCTGCTAGTCTGCTCAAGCAAATGTTGCAATGCTGAGAACGGTATGATTTTAATAACCTAAAGAGAGATGAAATTCGTTTGAAGCTATGTGAAATCATTTTACTAAAGTACTTCTGAAATCTTCTCTTTCGAAATAATAAAGAGTACTGATAGGAAAGCCTCCATTATGAGCAGTTTCCATTTCTCGATGCATCTGAAAAATAAAGTATAAAATACTCAGGACAAAGTAAGACAAGCATATTATTATTTTCATGGTGCAGGGGATTTATAGCCAGGAATATCCTGGCGTCACCACTGCTAAAGATATAAGAAAAAATAAAGATAGATCTTGAAGAAGATGAGGAAAGTATTGAAGTTGCTAATATCCCGAATCCTTTACACCAGCCCACTATCTTCTTTAATAAATATACCTTCATCTCATGTTTTCCTTCAATTTCTTTTCTGCTTTCATAAAGCTGATGCAAGTAGCAGCATCTTTCGACAATACTAGTCATTTGCATATATTTCACCCAATCACTATCTGTGAAATATGTCGGCAACCTTGCTTTATCAACTCCATACAGCAATTCTAATTCCAATAAAAGGCGTAAAAAAATGTTATTGTTTTCAGATTTCGCAATCAAGCGAGGTGAAGGTCGTAGAGCACGGGGTATCGTCACAGCGATTTCGCTTTTCTGAAACAGATGAATAAATTTGCTTATTTGAAATTATTCATTCACTGCTCGAAAATTTTCTTCCTTACCATATCAATTCAGTGAAAGTTCTATCGGATTTTTTCACCTAAATAAATTACAGCATCCGCTCTAAATTATATCAGAATAGGATCTTACTACACTACATAATCTTCAAGGATAAACAACCAGTAAAATAAAAACGCATGTGTTGATATCATCTTCTTTACTTACAAACAGAACCAGATTTGAAAGATAAACGAACAATGCAGTATTGACGATTTTTGACGCAAAAACTTAATCTGGTTGCCAGTGATGAGCTCTGAATCCTCCAACCAAACAAACCACAAATGGAAGTGATTGACGAAATTTTTACCATCAGATCCTCAATAACAATTATGCTAGATGAATTCCTAAACAAAACATAGATAATAATAGAAGATGCCATTGCTATATGACATGGAATTTTCCTTAAATAGTTTATAGAAGCTAATCCGAAACCTAACCAGTACTTTCTCTTCTCACTTGATCTTACCTCTTGTTAACTCTTAAAAAACTGAAAATTTCATGTGACCCTCCTTCTCACCAAATCTTACAAAACAGAAACCCGATCCTGGTCACAACTCTTATACTACTACTCATTTCATATCATTCGATGTAGCATGCAACGGATATATGAGATGCAATTGTGCTACGAGTCATTAAGACAATTGCTGATAGATTCTGTTCCCGAGCCGTGGTGGTTGTGTCAATGAGAAGGTAATTTAGTTGTCGATTTGTTGGAATTGAAATTTACTCGTGAATTTATCATGATTAAAGTATGGAACTTACATTTATCAAGCACAGTTTTAAACTGATTGTTCATGTCACACAGTCTATGTGTAGGAATAAAGTGATGAATAAAAAAAGTCGATGAATTGAGGGAAAAATCCTTGGATCTATTCTGAAAATTTTGTAAATTCTTATTTGCACTATTAATTAATAAAATAATCTTCGATAATTATTCTCCTGAGGAGGAGTAACTTAATTATTTCTTATTGGTCAAACTCCAAATTTGTCAAACAATCATTGTTACTTTGATATCTTGATTGTTAATGACTTTTTATTTCTGTCTTAACGGCACTATAGTGTTTGATTACTGAAGAGATACCAAGAACCTTAATTAAATGATGTGTGTGCAGTAAAGCAGTTCATCCGTGACAGGACAAAAAATCCTGAATGCATTAATTTGTATGAGATCCATTGTAATGAAGAGATGGTCAGCGGAAGACGTGATATTAAAGCAAATATAATTTTCATGAAAGAAATCCAGCAAGTTTTCGAATATCCGCACATTTCAAGCAGTGAAATCAACAATGCAAATAGCATTGGTGGTACAGGATATTTTGTTACTTCTATGAATGAGTTACAACTTCATGTGGAGGTTTCTTTGAAAGAATTAATCTTTATATAGAGATAGCTTCTCATTTCAAAAAAAAAAAATTTTACGAAAGTGAACTTACTTATTGCACTGTAATATTTTAAAGTTTTAAATATTCTAAAAAACATGATCAAAGAAGATTAAACCTTTTGAAATACTGAAATGTGTTTGAGAAAACTGAGCTATTAAAATATGGAACTGAATTTTTTCATTTATTCAACCTTTCATGATTCCTGGTTCGCTTATATTTTTTTTCAATATTTTTCATTTCACATATTTGCCTTGTTCAAGATTTCGCGTCAATTTTAAGACTTTCATAATTTAGGTATATATTTAAAATGTATAAAGTGAATGAAATTATTTATTCTTCATTTCAGGTTTTTGTGAGTTTTCGTGCAGTTGTGGTTTCGGGTACAGATTCATTCCATTTACTTCAAGCAAAATTTTTGAATAGCCCGATTTTTTTTTCAGTTTACAAATAAATGTTCTAATAAAATTTTGCAAATAATTCAGAATATTATTTTTAAATTTTTATTTCATCGCATTTCTTTTTCCTCGGATCTCCTACTTGTCTTTCAAGACTGAAATTTGTGAATATCGACAAATATTTGAAAATGAAAAGTGAATTCAGTATATGATATAAATAAGTGGAAATTTAGAAAACTGATTAAAAAACTTGGGATTACTATTCGATACAATGTTACATTGATTTCTACAAAATGTTAAGTATGGCTCAAAAGTTGGACTTGGACGAATTAATTTGCAAATTATTGAATGTTGGAAGCCCGGGATGTAGTTTGACGAAAACAGTTAAAGAGCAAGAAATTATGCATTTGTGCTCGCTAGCTAAGGAGGTTTTCTTATCGCAAAATTCATTGATTGAGGTTGATCCACCAATCCGGATTTGTGGTGATACACACGGTCAATATGCAGGTCAATAATATTTCCGGTTCCAATTCAGTTTAATTACGGGATACGGATCAAATGAAATCCTAATCATCCACTGATTGTTTTCTTATAACTGCCAATTTCCTATCTTTACTTTAATCGGTAAACACTTATAATCATTTTTTCCCAGGCAGGAACACTTTCTCCGGGATTACTGCATAGTACGTCAGTTGTAAATACGAGGTCTCATCTACTTATTTTTACCTGTAGTAAAGAATAGAATTGCTTAAAATAGAATTTCATTTAATTACAGATTTACTTCGATTATTTGATCGTGGTGGCTTCCCACCTTTTGTTAATTATTTGTTTCTCGGCGATTACGTTGATCGTGGAAGACAAAATCTTGAGACTATATCTCTGCTTCTTTGTTATAAAGTATCTTCTACCAATCAGTCTAATCCAATTAATGCTTTCATAGATGCTGTGAGATGTTCTGACACAAATTTTTGGCTTCATAATTTAACTTGTTTCATCATCATTTGCAAACAGCTTTTGATATTTTTAAGGTAAAATATTCCGAGAATTTTTTCCTACTTCGCGGTAATCACGAGTGTAGTGTTATTAATCGAGTCTATGGCTTCTTCGAAGAATGTAACCGTCGTTATCAAAGTGTACGGTTGTGGCAAACATTTCAGGTTTCCTAAAAAAAATTATTTCAAATAAACTTGATTCAGTAACTTTCATCTGTTTGTTAAGAGCGTATCACATTCGACATAACAATTTCATGTTAGTGCCTTGTTTAATTTTTAAACATAGATTTACATTCCACGTTTCTCAACATCGTAAGCGACATCAACATTCATTCTAGTTTGCCTAATTTACTTTAAACGATTCCTTACTCTCCTTTTTTTTTCAACTTTTTTCTTTAAAATTCATTGCATCTTTTCAGGAAGTATTTAACGCGATGCCATTTACGGGCCTAGTTGCTGGTAAAATATTATGTATGCATGGTGGTCTATCACCACAACTGAAAAGTATCGATCAGCTTCGACAGATTACTCGACCTATCGATCCTCCAAATCCATCTATTCACATCGATTTGTTGTGGTTTCTATTCTATAATTACTTGCAATTAGTAATGGAAAAATATAACGATTTTATAACCTTATAGTAAAAAATTGTGTTGTATGTGTAATTTTCAGAAGTGGAACAAATGTCAAAATTCACCAATCAATATATAAATTTCAAAAAACTTGAATTTCAGAAGAGGAAAAACTTAGCTTGCTTTTTTTTTGCCACTTCATTCATGCTTCTCTTTGAAAAATGGTGAGGGGTTTTAAATTACTATGTAGGTCAGATCCAGACCCCTCTGTAAAAGGATGGCAAGCAAACAATCGCGGATTATCTTACACCTTCGGTCCTGATGTTGTCATGGAAACGTGTCAAAAACTTGATATTGATCTCATTGCTCGGGCTCATCAAGTTGTTCAAGTACTTAACCACAGAAATTTTTTCCGAATTACTGTAAAATAAAAATTTTAAGTGACAAAATCTACAAATTATCCAATTTTAATGGTTTGGTAGTAAACAAGTTAGTAAAAAATCCCTAAGTAATTCCTCACTTCATTCCAAATTGAAATGATTAAATTAATTTCCCCAGGATGGATATGAATTTTTTGCGAATCGTAAATTGGTAACAATATTTTCTGCTCCTCATTACTGCGGACAGTTTGATAATGCAGCTGCAATGATGAATGTAGACGAATCGCTTGTTTGCACATTTCAAGTTCTCATTTATCTATCGAAGTTTTAAACTTTATCCATTGTTTTTATATCGGAACAAATCAAATCAGCTTTCTAATCAATTCTTACTAGTTGATTTTGCTTAAATTTGCTTATTTTTTGTTATATTGTCGTAGCACGCAATTTTTAATTATAAATTTTTGCTTCTCTTAGATTCTTCGCCCATCGATGAAATGTGGAAAAGTTGTGCCAAAATAATGAAAAAGATGAACATGTTGCGCATATCCTTCGTGTCATCATTTCCAATATTGTCTTTATAAATTATTTTTGCTAAATAAATCTATTTCGACAAATAAAAATGTCAATTATGAAAATGTATTTTTGGAGTAGAATTTCAAATATTGAAATACCAATACTCTGCCTTAAGAAATAAAAGTCGTTTAACTTATTTTTCTCAAATTCCTAAGATTTGTGAAGACAGGAAATACAGGAAATGAGTAAAGATTATTGTATGGAGTTGTCATTCCTTATTCACTGTCACTTGATTTTTATAGCCAAAGTTACTTATCTATGGCCATGCTTCCTAAATGTGGGTCAAAGTTCATTCAAATCATCAATTCACAGTGAACATGAAGCTTTATCGCAATGCATTCAGCATAAAAAAATTGTAATCTTTTATTTTCAGTTTTTTATACTTTACAGCAATTTCGAATTCATCAAAATATAATTCCAGACAATGAGGTTCAAATTTCTCTTTTTAGGATTCAAACTAAATGTTTACATTCTGTGATACGAAATCTGGCTTTTTAAAATAACCGAAATTTAATAGAAAATTTTATAATAGTGACTAGGACATTTATAGTTTTACTCGATAATGACAATAGCGTTGAAGCATTGCACAAAAAAATCCTGCAATTTTTTTCAAGTAACTTCTCAAATTAGAAAAATGTAACATTTTCCTTAATTTAAAAGAATTTCAAAAAATTTTCTTTTGTTTTTCTGTTTTTTTAAAAAAGATTAATTAACTTTATTCATCGTAATCTATTGAATTATAGATGATAGTATGGAGTGAAAATCGTTCTAAATTCTTCGTTTCACAAAAAGTCATACCATGAAATTGAAATTGTACTAAGAAAATTTTATCCATTTAAAGAACTATATATTTTACAACTTTTATGATTTTAAGTCAGTTTATTTATAATTTTCAACTATTTTATTTGCAAAAAACATCTTAGATATGATTGGATGTAAATTAATAAAGTTGCTGCATATCCAATAGAACTTTTCCAATTCCATCATGTCGTGAAAGACGAAAGATTTAAATTATTATATCCAAAACTAACAAATTACTCTTATCTGATTCCTTTTCCTCACACAACAAAAACCCTTTGTTAGCAAACCCTTTGTTAGCAAAGCCCTTTATTAGCATTCTTTGTTTCATATCATTTAAATGTCCTCCTCTACGGAATATCTGGTCAGTTCAGTTCTGTATATAAACTAATCTTGTTAACAATCTTCTTTGTTCATCCATGAGAAATCCTCCCATCTAATCTCCACTTGTTAAATCAGTCTTATATATAAACCAACCAATCCTTCCATAACCATCATTTGCTTTATGTTTTGGGTGGTATTGGGATGCGTCTAATACTTTATAATTTTGTGTTATTTCACCATTTTTATATTATTGCATTTTTTATAGTTTACGCGTTTGTTAATCGGTGTAGCATCCGTACGATATGTATAAAGCGCTATTATTTGCTTCATGTTAAATAAAGGTTTAATTACCCAAGTTTGAGGTTTCACGACAAATAAATTTTTGGTGCATCGAGGTGAGGTGAGGTATGTCGGCCAGTATAATTGTTCAAGCTACACCAGTAAAAGCGAATCTCGAAGGACTCCTCGATGAAATACGACAATTGGATCTAACTCCGTTAGACCAAAAAGCGACAGTAGAAGTATTATGCCAGCAATACGAAGCAAGGGCAAGGATCATCAAAGAAAAGTTGATGCGCCTCGAAAAATACGTTGGCACTCTTGAGAAGATCAACGACAAATGGTTGGAACACATTCAACTAGCCCCAATGTCGCAAAAGAAAAAAGAAGAAGAAAAATATGAACGAATGGCAAACGACGATAGAGGTATTTTAAAATTAATTAACACAGGTACGGATACCATTATAACCTTATCCATGTACAAGGATGATACAGAATTAGCCCTTAAACGTCTAGCACAAATTAAAGAACCTAGCTTAACTGAATGTCGTCCAGTAGTAAATTTACCACAATTGTCGTTACCAACGTTTAGTGGAGACCCTAAAATATGGAGAGAATTCTGGAGTAGTTTCGAAGCCTCCGTACACTCTCAAAACATACCAGATATCCAAAAATTAAATTACTTGGTTTCTTGCTTAAGAGGAAACGCCCTACGGCTAGTAAGAGGTTACGATAGGGCACCTGAAAACTATAGAATTATAAGAGAATTATTAGTGGAGAAATTTGGTCGTGTTTCCACTATAAGAAAATTGCTTTACAATGAACTCATATCTACAAAACGAAACGACAGAGACTGGAAAACAATAATCGAAGAAATGGAGAGAGTTCTAAGGCAGTTAGAAGCAATTGGCGAAAACGTAGAGCAACCTACCATCGAAACGATAATAGAATCCAAATTACCAAACTGGATATTAAACCAGGTTTATCAACAAAAGGAAGAGGATGGCCAGTGGTCCGTAACAAAACTTCGACAGCTTCTCAGGAAGACAATTAATAGAAACGACCAGGTAATGGAATGGCAATACTTGGATAACGTCAGTCGTAAAAATTTAATTAAACGTCATCCTAACGCAAGCAT